TTCATCTTACTTGGATCCACAATCAACACTCTTGGTACCAGCAGTCAGACATACTGCTTTGGGTAAGTCCACTGTCCAAAATTCTTCTCTAAAATACTAAAGAGTAATGACATTCATTTGAAGACTAAGGTGTGCCTGATTTGGCTCTGGTTTTTTCAATCACTTGCTATACATCTGAGAGATGGACAATGAATAAGGATGACAGAAGAATTGATGTCTTTGAGTTGTGGTGTTGGAGAAGAGTATTGAACATGCCGCAAACTACCAAAATGAAGAGACATGTTTTGGAAAAGGTGAAGCCAAAGTGCTCCTTGGAGGCAAGGATCTTTCATACTTTGGACATGTTGCTAGGAGGTGCTATTACTTGGAAAGGGATACCATGCTTGGAAAGGTAGAAGGTCATTGAAAGAAAGGAATGATCCCAGCAAGATGGATTGATACAGTAATTGCAGAAATGGGCTTAAGTGTATCAGAGCTGATGAGGATGGCACAGGATAGGACAGAATTCAGATCTGTTCATTAGGTTGTTATGGGTCATACTCAATTTGATGGCACCTACAATAACAAGAAGGGGAGAAAATGAGGCAGAATCCATAGTCGGTTAAGGCTTGGCACTCGTTCTCTGGTTTTAGAAAGCTTATGTTCAAATCCAGATTCTCTTTTCTGTTAAATGGATCTCTCTGCCAGCACAGCTGTGATATTAAGGGTCTCTCTCTCATACACACACACATTGTAGGTGGAGCGTAGGGAAGAGAGGTGATAATTTTAAGCAATGTGGTCATTTCTGCTCATTGTGCCACTCAATGGAAAAGCCCTGTAATCTCAGTTTCCAAGGGTCCCTCCTGCACATGCGCCTCACTTTCCTAAGCATACATTCATCCTAGTGTCTGGGGAAAAAAAAGTTTTGATTCGGTTTGATTTTTCTATATGGTCCCTAATCCTAAACCTCTTTATATGCTGTTTAAAGAAACCATGACCTGTACCAGAGTTGGAAGGAAATCTAGCTAATTTGGAATAAGTGGAAAAGGTTAATGGCCCAGTATCTGAGTGTGGTAGCTGAAAGAAAGTTAAGCTCTAACTTGACCTTCCTAATTGACTCTTCTGGGGAATATAACTACTCCACATCTATCTATTGTCCAAATCTTGACTTTCCTCTCTCATTACAGAAAGGTTACAATGTCCCTGGGTTTCAGTTTCTTTATTTGTATAATGGTGCTTAAATTTGAAGGATTCTTTTAGCTCTAAGGCGCTCTGTGGTCTAGTGGGTAAGAGGTTGTGTTGCCAACCCAAAGACAGCCTATTCAAACCCATCAGCTGCTCCTTGGAATAAAGATGGAAAATCTCTGCTTGTGTGACTTATAGCCTCTAAAAAACTTGCTAGAGGGTCACTAGATGGCATTGAGTTGTTATTTTTCAGTTCTAAGTCTCTGAATTCCCCAGTACTGCATGTGTATGCAAACATCTCCATCTTCTCTTCTGACCCAAGGGAGTCTTCTCACATGAGGTCCACAAATTCCTAGATCTATAAATCTAAAGGTCAGAGTTCAAAGCTTATATCAGAATAGCATGAATGCATCCAAAGAAAGTTTAGAATGATTGTCCCCAAATGTTACATCTGTTGCTTTTTAATAGGATTGCTTTAAAAATGCTCTGGGAGGAACAAGGGTGAGTGAGGTGGTTAGATCCCGTACTCGGCGTTTCTTCAGCTTCTGGTCTGGATCGTCACTGTTCCCAGCGCTGAGCTTCCGTGATGTGGTCTATAGATAGAGTCACCTTACAGTGAATCCGAACAGTGTCCCACATTCTTAAACTAAAACACACTAGGACTGTTTCCCTCCAGACTAATCTTCATTCCTGGTGATATAGAAAAACCAGCAGCTCCAACTCAGATAAAGTAATCTCCTGTTAAGGTCCACAGTCTCAGAATCCTGCTAGAGCGAGTTCACGAACCAGAATGGACTTGACGGTAGTAGGGTGTTATGTCGTATTTTTGTGAGGTTTATTATTTTATAGCTTTCTTTCTTTTTTAAAAATCTCTTTGGTCCTCAGTATTCTCCCAGACCCCCCTGATTTGATAGCATACACAAGCTGCCCAGTGGTCAAAATGCTAGAAATTAGGGAAAGGACAAGGCAGGGATATGTAAACTCATGGCTGGGTGAGAGAAAAGGCCCTAGTGTAATTTTGGAAGTTTTTGTTAGAATTTTCATTTCTGAGTAGCTGCCTAAAATCTCTGAAATGCTGGGAATTCAATAAACCAAGGACGCCAATGAGTGCCATATGTCTCCTATTAAAAATGGATTCTGAGGGGTCTTGCTCAATAGACTAGATAGCAGAAGGGGAAGAAAGCGGCAGCAGTTGTTTGAAATGGATGGTTATTTTATTAAAAATAACTTTGGTCAGATTTCCAACAATGTTAAATCTTTTAAGGGAACAACCTACCAAACTTAAAAAAAAAAAGTCACAAGAATATTAAACTTCTACCCACTCACAAGTCAGGTTCAAAGACTTACTTCTTTTTTGGAAGCAGAGTTTTCAATCTTTCCCCCAGTTATTAGAGTGTATTCTCCCAGCAGGGCAGGTTGGCTAGTAAACCTGGCAAGGGCAGGTGATGTACGACAGGAGGGGTGGAGCCTGATCCAGTAGAACCAGGGTTTGGGAGAGGGTTAAACCAGGACAGGAAGCCCAGCATTTGATTAGAACATGCCACCCACACGTTTGCAAAATACACAAGTATTTTCACAAGTCAGCAAGTTGCACTGAATGGAATATGTATTTACTTGGACACTGCTTAAAGTCAAGAGCATTTTAGAGGGTGTTACACCTTTTCCTACATAGATTCTCTTTGGGAACTATCTTTTCTTTCCAGTTGTATGGAGTCTGGGTAAACAGAAAGCACCTTGGCTGCCATATTTGTGGGATGAAATTGGAGATACATTTCTTCAACTGCTTGACAAGAATGGATTGGCAGAAGTTTGGCAAAACACAATTAAAGAATGAAATAAAAATGACTTTATCTTTGCTAAACTGGCAAAGACAGAGCTCTGGTGGCACAGCACATAGGGAATTACGCTACTAGCCTAAAGGCAGTGCCTATCTAGAGGTTCGAATCCACCAGCCAACTCTGAAGGGAGAAAGATGGGTAATCTCCTTCCATGTGATGTACAGCTACCAAAAACTTGCTAGAGGGTCAGCTATGAATTTAATGGCAATGACCTTGATTTTTTTGCACTGGATTTTTATTGAACAATGGCTGTGGGAGAACTCAAGTTTGATTGGAAAAATGTAGGTATTGTGAACACTGAAAATCAAATGAAGGAAAAATGACAGAAACACCCCAAAAGCCAGATATGAGGATCTGGATATCTATTTGGGGTCTTATGATTGTTTGAATTAAAATGTGACTCTTTTTCTGGGTCACCTTGATTCTTACTGGGAGGTTGGGGAGTGGAAATCAAAGGAAGGAATTAAGGAATGTGGTTGACAGAAGTTTAGAGATCTCCCAGGCCCAAAGTTAAAAAAAAAAAAAGAAAAAAAGCTCAAGTTACCCTCACCGGGTAGTGAGCAAACAACCAAATGCCTGCAGTGGTGGTTCAACCTGAAGTCCCTAAATCCTCTGAGAGGGTCTCACAGAACACCTCTTAGCGTCTGGCTTCTCTGCTATAATTTACACTGGAGACCTTCTCTTTGATCCTGTGAATCATTTACACAGAGCTCAAGAGACTCTGGTGAGAAGGTGACTCTGGTAACATTTCAGGAATTCAAGTCACATACATACATACCTCATCTCCATGCATATTTGCCACGTATTTGAACTCTGGAATCCCAATCCTGTGTTCCTTTGGGAACCGTCCCACGACCAGAACCCACAGGTTTCTGCCTTTATAGGGAAGAAAAAGAGAGAAAAATAATTAAGTTGTCTCTTAATGTGACAAATGAACTAATAAAATGAGATTAAGAAACAATGGTGTTTCTTCCATCACTTTGCTGTTATATGGTGGCTTAAGTTCATAAGAGGAACATGTCTTAGTTTGCTGCCAGGCAAAATATTTTCAATGTAATGCAAATATTTGTTAACGTAGGTGTTTTGGGTTTTCTTTAATATATATGTAAGAATGAAGACTTATTAGGCTTTATTACTTTTCTAAAATGTTCATGTATTATGCTATGAAAGAATATGATTTTTCAGATATTGCTAACTCACATAATTCTACAGAGATGAGACAGGGTTCACTCTGTCCTATGTAGGGTTACTATGACTGGAGCTGACTAAACCACACTAGACAAGAAGAAATAATCGATGGTTGACTGAGAGGGTGCCTCAACTCACAGTGCAAGAAAACTGGAAAACAAGCAAATGAAGAGGTAGCAACACCATGTAGCTTAGAAGGGCAGTTGTTTTATGAAAAGAAATCATAAAGCTTATAGTCAAAGATTTAGGTGAATTTAGGTGATACAGACTTTGATGGAACCACAGCCATCCTAATAAGGCTCTGGGAAAACGTCTCACGTCTAAGCTCTGTCCCAGACAGCACTGATCTGACAAGACAGGGCCGAGAAAAGGTGCCAGAGGATTGGCTGTATGCAGGCTCTGCTCCTGACATGCTTTATGTCACGTAATCCCTTCTTGTGCTCCAGTAACATAATTACCCAAATTCACAAGTTAACCAGTTTTACAAATGAGAAAGTTGATCTTTAAAAATACTAAGTATACTTCTTAGGATCACACAGCCATAAAAGACTGTGATTTAAGCTCTAGAGCCAAAGACCTGAACCCGAGTCTATTTGGGTTTCAGTTCTAACTTTCCTTCTTGATTAATGAAAATGGTTCATTTAAGAGGTTTGACTTTCTTTTTAAAACAGAAAATAATTAGTTACAATTGATTAATATATTACAATGTCTGGTCAACCCTTTATTACCCTTCCTTCACATAACTGCTTATCTATTTAATATATTTTTTTTTACTACTCTCTCCCTTCCAATTCCTGAAAACCATACAAGAATGATTTTATATACATCTACATCTATCTATTTCATATATATATTATATATATATATGTTTTGTTGTTAAGTGCCGTCGAGTTGTAGGTGACCCATAGTGACCCTATGAACGAAAGTTCTCGACAGCTGTGGGACTTTCATATATATAATCATTTATTTAGCTATATGTTGAGCAAATTATCCGAGAAGCTGGACTCTATAAAGAGGAATGTAGCATCAGGATTGGAGGGAGACTCAACAATAACCTGCATTATGCAGATGACACAATCTTGATTGCTGAAAGTGAGGAGGACTTGAAGCACTTGTTGCAGAAGGTAAAGGAATGCAGCTTTCAGTATGGACTGCATCTCAATATCAAGAAAACAAAGATTCTTACCACCGCATCAATGGGCAGTGTTATTCATGATGAATGGAGAGGAAATTGAAACTGTCAACAGCTTCACCTTGCTTGTATCCACAATTAACACTCTTGGTACCAGCAGTAGGAAATAAGGAGACATATTGCACTGGGAAAATATGTAGTTAGGGACCTTTACACTTAGGAGAAGTGACTAAGGTGTGTCCGATTCAGGCCATGGTCTTTCCTATTACTAGCTATGCATCCCAGACCTGGACAATAAATAAAGATGACTTTAAAGTGCTATGTTGTTGTTGTTGTTGTTATGTGCCGTCAAGTCGCCTGCGACTCGTAGCGACCCTATGTACAACAGCCCTAAACTCCTCTCTGTCCTGTGCCAATCACACCATCTCTGACAATCCCATCCCAATTATCCCAGTCACTGAATCAATCCACCTCATAGAGGGCCTTCCTCTCCTGCGCTGTCCCTCCACCCTCCCAAGCATGATGTCCCTCTCCAAGGACCGGTCTCTTCTCACAACAAAGTGCTATAGGTTAAGGATATTGGCTTAAGCTGTGTCTGATCCAAGCCATACTATTTTCAATGCTTCCTTGCGTCTGAAAGACAGACAATAAATAAGGAAGACCAATGAAGAAGTGATGTCTTTGAATTGTGGTGTTTATGAAGAACATGGAATATCCCATGGAGTGCCAAAAGAATGAACAAATCAGCCCTGGAGAAAGTGCAGGGTGCTCCTTACAGGCAAGGCTAGTGGAACTTGGTCTCACATTTTTTAGACAAGCTGTCAAGAGGAGACAGTCCTGGAAAAAGACATGATGCTGGGAAAGGTAGAAGGACAGTGAAAAGGAGGAAGCCTCCCAAGGAGATGGACTTCTACAACAGGCTCGAGCCTGACAGATGTGAGGACTGTACATGCTAGGGCAACGTTCAGATCTGTTACTCATAAGCTCACTGTGCACTAATCTCTACCCCACTGAGACAAAAAAAGAATAGGACAGTGCCTGGCTATAATTTTTGGCTGCCTGACAACAACAAAAGGGATCACAATATAACAAAATAGGCAAAAAATCATAAACGAAACTAAAACCCACAAAAATAGCCAGTCTTATCAGTCTGATAGAACCTCCAATGTCATGTTCCTTAGTTACACTTTGAATCTGGATCAAAACTCATGACTGTAGATCAGTTTTCAGTCAAACAACAGACAGGTCAATAACGTCAACAATAGCACCAGGAAGGTAACCATTTGTTAGAACAGTCAAGGACACAAGGACAAATGGACTTCATTTGTGCAGGGAGACATCTCAGAAGTGGTAGGATATAAGGATAGGTTAAAGGAAACAAGAATGCCAGGGAACAAGTGGAAAGAATAACATTACATTGTGGATATTGTAATTAATGCCATAATACAAAATACATATGAATGGTTGAGTAGAAAAACAATTTGCTAAATAAGCTGGGAACTCTATGGGGAAGTTCTGTTTTGTCTTTCAATGACACTAGCAGCTAAAAACAACTTAATGGCAGCAGGTTATAAATAACCTTAAAACTAGAATAATCACAGATTTGTATAGAATATAGATTAGACCCCTCACAGGCAAGATCAAAATTCAATATCCGCTCAACATAATATTTATCAATTTTTATTTCTAACTCAGAATCTGCAACAGCTGGCCTGTTACATAAGGGAGAGCATAAGACAGCAACTAAGCTGACCAGTTATATTTATCTGGTACCATTTGGCTGAAGCAAGGAGGGAAGTCACATAGATAAAACCTAAGTGAAGAGGTACTTTGGTGGGTAATCCAATCCCAATTTTAGCACAAATGACCCTCAAGTGAACCACAAATTGAGAAAGTTACCTTGCACAATCTCAGTGATAGAAAATCTGAGAAGGAAAACCCAACCACTACAAGTAGAAAGATACAAACTCAACCTGCTTAGAAGGACAAGCCTCTGGAAGGATTTTAACGACTTTCCTCCCCCCTCAAATAATCTGGCAGAGACCAGCAGAAATGCACAAAGGACAAACTATTTCTTTTTCACAACGTGATATCTTTTCTCCCCTATCACGTTTAGAAAGATCTTTATTCTCTAAAATTCTTGTTAAAACAGGTGCATGAAAGAGTTCAGCAGTCCTTACCCCCACTTTTTTTTAACAGAACAAAGTAAACAGAAACTGCATTCCAGGTCCCTTAGTAATGCCCTCAGGGGTTGACATGAATCCCAGGGCTGTGATACAGCCACTCAAATAGATTAGCATAGAGGATCATGTAAATTATTACCATTTAGGAGGATTCCCTAATTATCTACAAAAAACAGCTGACAAAAAGCCATTGCTGTCAAGTTGGTATTGACTCATGGAGACCTGCAGAGTGGTTGGTGGTTTCAAACTGCCAACCAATCAGTTAGCAGTCATACTAAACACTGCAGCAGACAGTTGGGTTGTCAAGTACTGTCCAGGCAGAACCGACCCATAGCTGACCCTCCAGTGGGTTTTCAGAGGCAGTAAATGGCAGGAGCAACTGGTGGATTTGAACTGTGTGCCCTTTGGGTTAGCAGTGCAGTACATGATCATAAATCACAGGTGCTCCCTGCACCAGGTGATAAATGCTACACAATCAGAGAAGAGTTTAGTAGAAAGTAATGGAGAAGCAAGAAAAAATAAGCACAGCTTCACCTGGTAGACATGGGGGTGGGAGATGTCACTTTCATGTCAAAATCACCTGGGCTGCTTGTTAAACTGCCCCAGTCTCCAGCTACTAAATCAAACTCTGGAAGTGGAGCCTGAAACCTGCTTTTAACAAACTCCCTTGGTGATGTCAAGGCCAATAATGTTTGAAGGTTCCTGACAGAGGCCTGCAGAGATTTCTATGGCAATTGACTCGTGGTAAAATTATCTCATTTTACGTGTGATAATAAACATGTTTCCATGTTAAGATTATAGTTTCGAATTACCCAACAAACAAGGTAAGCATGGGCTTCCTTGTGTTTTGAGAGGCAGTTAATCGCATGGGAGGAGATTGCCCATTCTCCCCCAGAGCAGCTGGTGGCCTCCGTATACCTTCGGGACTGCAATGTAACTTCTTGCCACTAGGCTACCACATCTCCCCCAAATCATCTCATTTTACATTTAATAATGAATATGTTTCCATGTTAACATTCTAGAGTTGGATTTCCCAATAAGCAAGGTAAGCTGGGGTTTATTTGTGTTTACTTACTAATTTGTAATGAGAATTTTAACGCTTTTTCCTAACATACTAAAGATTCTGTTTATAGGTATGGCTAGTTCCTCTCTCAACGAACTCTACAGCATCTTCTTTTTTTCCTTTTGGTCTGGTCTTTAAAAATATTTTTATTTTACTTTATATTGGCTTGCATACAATGTTCATACACATTGTGTTTCACACTATCTTCATTCACATTGTGCGTCATACACTCATTTCCATTCATACATAGCATCTTCACAGACAGAACACCTAGTAACATGAGTTTACTGAACTTATTTTCTAACCTTTA